TCCAGCCCTGCCAGGGCCCCCACCATGGAAGAGATGCCCTCAGCCTCCTCCTCCTGGATGCGCTTCACGGGCTTCAGCAGGTGCTGCAGCTGTTTGTTGTGCCTGGAGAGCTGAGCAGAGGCAGAGCCCGTCACCGAGGCGTGGTCGCTGGAACTGGGGTGCGCGGGGCGGGGCCGTGGGGGGTTGAGGGGGGCTGGTACCTGCAGCGCCAGGATGTAGATGTTGTGGCCCACTTCACGCGGGCTCACCTCTGAGTTCTCACGCTCCTCCTCCTGCAGGTAGGCCTTCTTGATGACGTCCACCTGGCGGGGCAGTGCCTGCTCGAATGCCCTCATCCCCATGCCCACACCCCCCACCTTCCCACCTCCCACGCCCAGCCTACCAGCTCCTGCGGCCGCAGGCTGATTAGGATGCGCTCGGCGTTCTCACTGTCGTGCCGGCTCTCCATCAGCCCCAGGAGCAGCTTGGAGGCGTTGTCCTGGGAGGGGAAGACCGGCCACAGTCTGCGGGGCCCCCCTCTTTCCCCCCCAGTACTCCATATGCCCACACCCCCCACCTTCCCACCTCCCACGCCCAGCCTACCAGCTCCTGCGGCCGCAGGCTGATTAGGATGCGCTCGGCGTTCTCACTGTCGTGCCGGCTCTCCATCAGCCCCAGGAGCAGCTTGGAGGCGTTGTCCTGGGAGGGGAAGACCGGCCACAGTCTGCGGGGCCCCCCTCTTTCCCCCCCAGTACTCCATAACAGCCCCTCCCACCCTCCCCATCCCCCACGACTCTGGGGTCTTGCCGAGAAGTGTCCCACTTGTCCAGGCCACCCACAGCCTTCACCCCCACGCTGTGGCAGGCACACGACCCCCAGACACAGGCACAGGAGGCCCTCAGATAACCCCGGAATGTGTGCTTCTAGAGCAGCAGTTCTCAACCTGTGGGTCGTGACTCCTTTGGGGATCGAACGACCTTCACAGGGGTCGCCTAAAACCATCGGAAAACACATATATAATTACATGTTGTTTTTGTGATTAATCACTATGCTTTAATTATGTTCCATTTGTAACAATGAAATTGGGGGTCATCACAACATGAGGAACTGTATTAAAGGGTGGCGGCATTAGGAAGGTTGAGAACCACTGTCGAGTAAGTGTACATCTGGCACGTTTGCTCACACATTCACTCGTGTGTACAAATAAACAGACACATACTACACACACACAACCTGCATACGTCACATGCCTGCACATGCACACATCACGTGCACACGCACGAGGGCTGCCCGGGCCCCACCTTGAGCTGCAGCACCAGGTCCATCCGGTACTTGCACAGGGGGCTGATGTCGTTGAGAATCAGCGCAGTGATGATGTCGATGCCGTTGGACTCGTGCGTCACGATGCAGGTCTGGCAGGAGCAGGGGGACGCGGGGCCCAGGCCCTCAGTACTGCGGTGGCTCAGGAGGCTCGGCCGCTCCCTCGCCAGCCTGCTCCATCCTCCACGGCCACGCTCACCGCCCGGCTACTCACCTGGTTCTCGTGGCAGGGGCCCTGGCAGTACTCGGTGAGGGTCTCCAGGGTCTGGATGACGAGCCCCACGTTGTCCTCGTTGATGTAGAGCCCCAGCAGCCCCAGGCCGCCCGTGGTGCTGCCGCACATGATGTCCAGGAACTGCAGCGTCTCGCACACCAGGTTGTAGTTGGTCTTGTTGTTCTGACAGCGCAGGAAGTTCTGCAGAGCACAGGTGAGGGGGTGTGGCACAGCTGGGGGCGGGGGAGGCCGGGGGACTGCTCCTG